TGCCTGATATTTGTGGTTTAGGCTTCAGCTCTACAGTAACAACAACACTGATTCAATTTCTAGGATCTTGGAATCAAGGCAACATTGAAATTAAGTCAGTTCACTTAGCCTTAGATTGGACAGGTTAATTGTAAAATCTTTACATTTAACTGTAGAAACCAGTTATAGCTAACTTGCTAAATTTCAATTGCAATTCCACTACAGCTAAACTCTGGCTGCATCTCCACAGTGTGCAGAAGTCTGGAGGCAGTGGCTTATATGCGGTCTTCCAGCAGTGAAGGAGCACAGCACAGCACCAGCACCGGCGGGCAGATCTGAGCCTGCGGAAGTGTGCCAGATGAGAGAGGCCAGGCTGGGCAGGACTGGGCCGGGGCGGCTGAGGTTCCCACTCCGCCCTGAGTAGCAGCGAGGCTAAGCTAATCCTGTGCCTCAGGCCCCTGTGAGGTGGCTCTGCCAAAGCCGGTCCCCCTGCTGCTGCAGGAAATTGCTTTCAGTGCAGAAGTCCATGAAATGTCTATGGCGAGGTACATCCAATGTGTGCATGCACATGGGGCCAGCGCGACTTTACAAACCCTAATCTACAGGTACATTTTGTTCTTAAAACCTTAGTATTTCCAAAAAAAACAGCCATACTGGGATAAATAAGTCTCCTTTTCTGCATAGAAATGTGATTTTGTGTGTTTTATGTATAATTGATGGACCATACAGAGGTCCTTTGACACTAAAAGCCAGTTTTCCTGCGTGGGGTTGTGTGTCAGCTTCTATAACGCCTCCTCCATTGTGCTGTTTGACCCGTGGGCCAGCAAGAGCTCCCATGAGGTCCCTTATCCCTCCATCAGTCCTCTCTCATTAGCTCCCACAGGCAGAGCCCCGAGTAGGGTAACACAGAGGGGCCCCTGCTTCCTCCGCTGGTCCCCCCGTGAAATACATACAGAACAAATACAGATGACAGAGATCACCTTTAAGCAGTCAAAAATGGTTTCTTCTCAAAGAAATGGATGGATGCATTTCTTGTGATTGGATTATAAACTATAGACGATGACACACAATTACATATATTTATTTTTGGTATTTATTTAAATGAAGCTTCTAAGACCAAAGAAAGGATCAACATTGCCAAAGTGGATCATCTTTAAACTGGGATAAAACAGGGGGAATAAAAGTGGAAAGTGGAGGTGGCAGAATGAGGAGGGAGGAGGCGTCGGAGGAGGAGGGGATGGGGCAGGACACAGTGGAGAAACAGTTGATTATGAGTCCCATCAAGTGATCAATGATTTCATTAATAAGACAGATCACGCGCCTGTCATAGCTGTGACACGAGCTGAGGGATGATCCGCTCCCAACGCTCCATTTCTCCCCCCCCCCCACCCTTTTTCTCCATCCCTCCTTCCTCCCTCCCTGTCCTTCCAATATCACCTCGCTCTGCCTATGATGAGCCAACGCCGAGGAGAGAAAAAAAAAAAAAAAAAGGGATGGAAGAGGGGTTAGTCATGAGGGAGGGAGGGAGGGAATAAAGAGCGGGGTAGGAGGGGAGGAAGAAAAGTGAAAATCCATTTTGAAACCCATTTTCAATTAGGGGTCCACAAGCTGTTATCACAGGTGTCCCAGAATGGGGGCCCGTAAGTGAAAATGTCTCCTATCCGTTTCTGAAATGAAACCTTATCTGGGAGGCACAAAGATGGCGGGGACAGCGTATCTGTAAATTACTTTCCATCCCCGCTGTTAACGGGAACTTTATTTCTGTCAGATGACATTCCCCTCTATTTACTCTTGATCATTTAAATGGCAGCCTAAAAAGAGAAGGTGGCCCCTCACTCTTCCTCTTTCTCTCCCCCTCACTCGTGGTATCGTTCTTTCCTCTCTTCCCGTTTTTTTCCAAAGCGTTCAAGTGCTCTTTTTCTCTTTAAACACTTTAGCCACGCTCTGCATTTGCTTTGGGATTTCTCTATACAAAAAAAAGCCAAACATTTGTCGCCCTTAAAGGCTTAACTTGTTTGCCTCGGAGACCCCTCGCTCTTGCCCTTTCAAGCATGACCATCAAAAGGTCCCATGCAACTATACGGAGGCCCTTCCAAACTAAAAAAAAAAAAAAAAACAGAACAATTTCCCAAACTTGTTCAAACCTTTCCTTCTCAAATTTTAATTCGCTTACAATTCCGCTCTCTTTTTTTTTCTTCTCTTAAGTAAAAGCAACCATGTCATAAAAGTCCAACCAAAAAGAAAGTTCTTCTCCCCCACCCACTCTGTTTTTTTTGTAGTAAATGATCCCATGAGGACAGGACTTATTCAGGCAAGAAGCATGTACATCTTTTTTTTTTTTCCAGCTCTGGACCCAACAAAAGAATCAGGGGACTTTGTGGTCCACCTGCCTTGCCGAATGATGAGGGAAGCGCCCAACCTCCCCCCCCCCCACCCCTGAAAACCTCTCCTAAAGAGCACCAATCACAGCATTGTTGTGGCACAGTCGGCCCTTTTGAGCTGTCATTGCAAGAGGAGGGGGCACGGAGATGAATGGCACACAGGATGAAGCCACCATTTAGGCGACCATGTGGGAACGCTCGACCAGGACTCAATAATTACTCCGGGCCCGTTCAACTCAGACAAAACTTACAGAGTAGGGACAAGGGAGGAGGACAGGGCTAAGTAAAGACTCTCTAAGAATTCAGAGGTAAATCCGTTTTAAGACAAGTGTGCTAATCAGTGAAGATAAAGTTTCCACTGATCAGGTCCAGGCTTCACTTCTTTGTAGCATTGTCTTAATTGGAAACGCCAACAAGCAAGTCACTACCATGTATTTGGGGATCACGAAAAACTACAGGGAGATCATCTGAAACAACATGGAAATGGTTTAGAATAATGTTGTTCACTGTGATGCATGGATTAAGTCTGTCAAACCAAATAAAAAGTTTAATGTTTGTTTTCTTTTGCTTGGTTTTAGTTTGAAAATGTGTTCACTGTGAGATGCTTTGAAACCAGTTCATTTCCAACACAAATACTAAGAACATAAAAAAATAAGCAAAGCCCACCTGCCCCTACTCTGCTTCCCCCCCCCCCATTTTTCACAACTTATCGTAGCACGCTCTTGCTGAGCGCTCCACAGGGTTTCCGCTGCACTGCATCAGGGGCTGCTGCTCTGCTTGCAGGGGGAAATATTTCGCTATGAAGAAGCAGTCACCAGGGATCCACAGCTGCTCACAATTACCTTTTGTTTGCACGGAGGCGGTCGGGCAGGGGCTACGGGGGTTAAAGTTGAGGGGAGTGTAGGGTTACACCTGATAAGAGGTTATGAGTTATGGGGGCGACTTGGGGAATGTGCTGTAATTATAACTACACAAAGAATGTGTAAGCTATATTCTTATTCCAAGGGGGAAAGATTGGGATCTTAACAGGACCTTTTTCTGCCGATACCCATCATCCCTCCTTTTGTCAAGTGAATTATGGGACTACTGTATTTAAGGGAGTGCAGCTTTGAAAAAAAGCATTTTTGACATGTCTGAGTAGGAAAATCTTCAGCAACTTTTCAAGACAGCCGTATGCCGTTCAGAGCTGTAATTACCAGCACATTACGGAGAGAAATCCACCGCGCCAAATCACATCCATGCTTGTTCCACAACAAACTGTTTTTTTAACATGCTGCCCCTTTAATTAATAAAACAGAGCTGGCCATCTGGAAATGAGTAAGAGTGAGAGTGTTCCCAAGATGCTCCAGGATGCATTACCTTACCCCACACTTCCTGTGATAACTCCCATATGGGGAGCAAGTCAAAGCAACTTATTCACACTCTCTCTCGGATTAGCTTGATTCGAAAAAATGGAGGGCGCAGAAAAGTCTAAACTCACACCTCCACACTCCTCCAAATCCTGTCCTCTCAAATTGTTAAAGAGTACTGTACGTTGTTTTCTTAGCTTGATGCACTAAGAAAAAAGGTTATATTTCTCTATCCAGCAACCGAATCAAGAATGAAAGGCTGAATGGCGACGGTCTTAGTGGACGGTAAGCTTTTAATAGCAAGTGTTGAAGACATTGCTGTGTAAACATGCCAAAGTTTCGCTACCAGTGACTCACGGTGACCCTGAAGAATAGGGGTAACGTAAACATGAGGAACATCAGCAAGGATCTGTCAGCGTTTAATCTGTGAATCATGTTTTGAGGAGTTGGGCAATTCGGTCTCAGAGCTATGAGAACATAACCACAAAAAAACATTCCTCAGTCTGCAGCAGGTCAAAGGCTCCAATGCTTAAATATGTTGAGTGATATCAGGTGATGTATAGCAGCCATCTTTAGCTCACGGAGGTCTGGACTACCTCAATGCATGATGCTTTTGTTACTTTAGCTAAATCAGCGGATGTTAGTAACAAGTTTGATTTCAATTTGTTCATTGTAAGCTGTTAAATTTGAATTTCTGAGTTTGAATTTCTGAGTTTGAATTTGAATAATCTGTAAAATCAGAAAGACCTAAAAGTAAGTCTGCACAATATGATAAAAATATGCACTGTGAACAACATTGAAGTGTGCTATACACAAAAGCTAAATAGTACGCTACATATTAGCTAGAACACACAGATTTTGAGTCTATAGTCTGTTTTTTTAGATTTGACACACCAGCTGTGTTTGCCACATGTTTCTACCTGAATCCAAAATGAATCTAAAATCCTTTTTTTTTCCACCAGTAAATTGGCGACAGCTAATCTAATGGGTAGACGATAGTACATCCCCTGACTTCAACATCAGCAAGGGAGCAACGTAGAGAAATCACACCAGAGGAAAAACCTACACAGCTTATTTGACACGATGGGGGCCGTGACCAAGCAGCCAAATGAAAGGACTTAAGAGTGACAACAAGGTATCGTCCCCTTCACTCCGTGTTCCCATTACTCAAGTTTTTGACTGAGTAATTGAGCATTCTGTCCAAAATTGGCTGTTTTCTTTGAAAGACCTATATTATATTGACATTAACCACAGTGAGTGAAATGAGCGCGCAGTTAAAGTTGATGCGTACCGTTTGAGGTGGTGCTGGAGGCCACCGCCTTCTCGCTGATGTCATTGCGCACTGACGAGCCCTTGGTTGCCACAATGGTCTCCACCCTCTTCTTCTTCTCAGCTGCTGAATTGGCCTGGGACTGGGTTTCCATGGCGATTTTTCATTCCTCAACACCTCATGGAGACGGGATAACTGGAGAAAAGGGGAAAGAGGAAAATGAATGCAAAGATTTAAACCACATTAGACAACGTGTGTATTTCTTTGATAAGCTGAAGAAACACACGGGTTTACTTTGTGGTTTAATTTTGAAAATGAAGCTTGTTTTTGTTGCTTGATGGAAGTAAAACATTTTAACAATAGAGCGCCTTCAGGAAAGACTTCAACAGTGGGAACCTTGAGAGGAAAACTTCAGATCCAATCCTCCTTTTTCATGATGCCCAAAGCAGACCTCGGGTCAATCCAGCAGCTCACCCTGATTTATTTTAACTAAAACCTGCTGGGCTCTGATCGGCTTGTCTGGAGGACTGATCTCCTTCTCTTTCCACTAACTGTGGTTAAAAACACAAACCCCAAAATTGCGATTACCTTATTTTCAACTATGTCACACTAAACTTCTGACTTCTCGTCGGAAAAAAAAAAAAACACACACAACAACAACTCCATAAACACAGAGAGGCAGGACATCCTGACTGGGCTTTTATATCTGAGAATAGAAGTGCAGGCAGCTTGTGGATATACTGATAATCCTGTTCGAGCAGTCTTTCCACAGAGAAAGCAGAAACCTTAAGGGGATACCACAGAGAGAGAAATGTTCACAGTCCTAAAAAAACAAGGGTTGTTTGAAGGCCCTTTTGGGAATATCATGGTGCCGGGCAATTTTTCTTTCAAAGAATAAAGGTGGTTGGAGTTAATGCTGTCTGTGGGTTTAGAAGGGGTTCAGCCAACAGTCTAGCAGACATGCTGCTCAGTTCAGCACCTCAGAGGCCGTCTACAAACTCAAATCTATCTAGGTCATGGAGGTCTTTTATTATGGAGACAGCACGGTGATGCACCACAACCAACCACTCATTTACACAAAGTACAGGAGGTTTGATACAAAGCCTCTACTTAACCGACCATAATTCATGGAGAACCACTGGAAATATTTAGTCTCCTATCCAATAAAGACCAGCTAATTACCTGAGTGTACGATTTAATTGTCCTCCGCCCTGTAAACATGCACGGATACAAAGGCCAGCAGGAAAGTAATGCAAACAGAGTTGTTGTGCTGAAAGTACGAAAAAGAGAGGATGGGGGGGGGTGATATTTACTAACTCCCCAAGGAGGTAAGTCGAGGGGGAAGTGGTGAGGGGTAAACTTCAGACAAACACTGTGCGCTTTGTTTGTTTTGTTTTTTTTCTTCCCAAACATCTGAAAAAAAAAAAAAGAGTCTGTCTTCGTTTTTCTGACCTGACAACATCTGTAAGCAATCGCCGGCTTACACACACAAAAAAATTGAGACGGAACACAAAAAAAAAAAAAAAAAAAAAAAAAAAGACACAATGCAATTACTGCCTCACCAATCAAAACAGAATTAAACAAGAGCTCGTCCCTCTAATCACTCCCACATGAATACACATGTACTTGTCATCCCTAACCAAAGACATTTTTGTCCTACAGATATCATCTCGAATCTCTGCTGCCTGTGTGTGTGTGTGTGTGTGTGTGTGTGTGTATGTGTATGTGATACTATTGCTTTCATTTCTGGGGTCTTTTGCAAGTACCAGTGAGTTAATCATAAGAATATGTGCAGTGCATGTAGGTCTGCATATTTTCCAGAAACAAGAGCCTGATCAGAGAGCATTTCTGAAATCGTCATTCTAATGACTGAACTTGAGACAGAGCGTAGAGGGGGGGGGGGCACACACACACTTTCAAGCTGTTTCTTAATGGCTCCCAACATGACTTGTGCCGAGAGTGTGCATGCATGTGTGTGTAAGGGTTTCCCTATTGCATTAAGGTGAGTTAGACAGGAGATTTAAAAGTGAATATGAGGGTCTGGATTGGGGGTTTTTTGTAGGGGAGTTTTGTCGAGGAGAAAGCGGAGCATTCCACTGCTCGGGCAAATATTCACAAGTCCGAGCCACTGAAGCGTGTCTGACCGGCCTTTTGTGCTCCGCCAGGCAGGCCACAGTTCAAAAGCAGCAATTAAAAGCAGGGACCTTTTCACCCATAATCCCTCTGACCTGGATGCCCACACCCAATCTTGCAGATGTTCTCTGGCTCTACCTTTTTTTGTTGCTCATTTTGGCCAAAAACACTAAAATAAAATAAACACAGTTATCACTTGGAATGCATTCTCCAGATGTAGAAAACAAGTGTTTATACTTTTGCATGAGTTCTGAATTAGTTTTGATGTCATGTCATTTTGGTTTGGCACTTTAAACCTTCACTGAATCAGAGGAAGACATCAGATTATGATACACATTTAGATAAGGTAGCACAGAAATGTTAGCGTCAGCTGTGTGTCACAGAGGCCTGGCAGGAAAAATGTAAGCAATACAACCATGCATTGATCTCTGTTGTTACCCAAAATAAATGTTAATTTCTTATTAATGTCTTCCCCATGAAATGTCTGTCCCACACCCAATTAGTGAAGAGAGGAAAAGGGTGTATCTTTATTTGTGCTAGACTGTAATCCTTCCACACAGAAAGGGAGGCGATTAAACAGGTTTAAAATACCACAATTCAGACGGTTCCCTCAGAAAAAAAAAAAAAATACATTATTTTATAAGCACATTAAGCAAATCAATTTAACATAAATTATACGCCTTGGTGACAAAGGCGCCGAGTTGAAAGTCATCTGAAAATTGTACACATCAAAGTGAAACACTAAAATAAACTTTTGCCTTTGATGGGAAAAATGCAGTTTTCTTTTTCCTTTCTTCTTCATGTGAGCTTAAACTGCTGCTAACGCTATCAAAACATCTGCGCCTTTTGTTATTTAAAGTTTAATTCTCTTAAACTGCTTTAGGTGCAGCTCCAATTCTACTGCAGTCTGTCATTAGGGGCACTTCTGAAATTGTATGCACACACACACACACACACACACACACACACACACACACACACACACACACACACACACACACACACACACACACACACACACACACACACACACACACACACACACACACACACACACACACACACACACACACACACACACACACAGTGAGAAACTGGGGGACATTTTTATATAAACTCTTGAAGTGTCTTCTTAGATTTGGCTGCCCCCCCTCACAGACGGGTACTGTATTTGTGTTCATTTCATTAGGGGGGACTGTTCAGCGTCGAGGGCCCCCTAAGGGGGGAGACTGGCAGCGCCGCAGCATTCATCATCATTACATCAGCGACCACCGAGATCTGCTATCTTAGGCTTATCAACGGGGCACAAACGCACCGCGGCGCAGCGAGTTAGAGGGGAGGGGAGAGATGGGAGATGGAGACGATTGAGGGGAGATTGTGAGCAAAAGTGGGATAAGAGGGGGAGAAAATGAATGGAGGGAGGGAGGGAGGAGCATGGGAAAGTGTGTGTGCGTGCATGCATGTGTGTGCGCCTCGCTGCGCCCCTGCATGCCTGCACATGTTTTACTGTGTGTACAATGTGTGTTTTTGCACATTTCGCAGCTATGCCAACAACATTAAGGGCTCCTGCACAGCTGGAATAACTAAAACACTGAGGGGCAAAGAGGGAGGAGGAGGAGTGGGAGCCCTTCAGCCAGATTAGCTGAATCTCGCAATAAAACAGAACGTGCTGGCTCAGGCTGCATGTGTTTGCATTGGATAAGGTCAGTGAGGGGATGAGGCCCCTTAAGGAGACAGTGGACATGCTTTTCTGTGGGTAAGAGGACCGGTGTTGGGTTCAAAATCCCCACAGAGGAGGTGTTCCCAAACTCAATGGCTCTGTCGGGAAACCACATACTTAGCTCTCTTGCTGTGTTTGACACCGTTCTTGTGGCTCCCCTTCGGCCCTGGAAGGCAAAAGGGGAGAAGAGGGAGGAGGGGTTTGGGGATTTGATGGTTGTGGCTCCCATTCACCAGTGAAACTTAACATTGTGCCCAGATGGCACTGAGTCTGGCCTACAGCTGATGGGGACCAGCCCCTCAAGTAAGGGCCATTTAGCAGGAATTAGTCACACCCTGCCACACACACACACATACACAATCATGTGAAATCCAAGATACACACATGCAAACTGGTTTAGTGTCAGTCCCTTTACCCTTTTGTATACAGTGACACGGTTGAGCTATTACTCATTTAAATGACACCATGATGGTGTGTGAGTCCCAGTCTCGACCGACGCACTGTCATAGCTAATGCTGTTTTTTTTTTAGATTATTCACCGGTGCATGTTTTCAATCTGAAAATTGTCTTGTGAATACTGCATGAACAAAACCCCAAAAACTTTGGGTTTTGGACTGTTTGTTGGTGGAAATAGATCATTTTTAGACATTTCCACAACTTTTTGACCTCTACAGATCAAATAAATAATCTTTTAATCCCAAAAAAATCATTTCCGGATTACAATGTTTTAGCCCTAAATAGATCTACCTGTCCTTCATTTGTTACACCAGAGGTACAGCATCATATTAGCTTAGCATATTAGCATAGTCCATAAGCAAACAATTAGGACTTCTATCACCGGTATGCTGCAGAAAACTGGAGAATATAAGCCTGAGTAAATGAGGAGCAGTGTTTTTTATTATTCGTCAAGGACAAACAGTGCAACAACACAGCTCATCATTTGCTTTCAGCGCAGCTAATAAGATTATCCTCGCGTGCGTCTTGCTCCCTCAGACCTCTCCACTTAAGATGCTTTGGAGGGCTGGTGAGGGACCCTGTGTGACGCTGTGAGTGCATCTTACATTCCTGTGTAACAAACCCACACGATGTAATCGGAATGCTTACACGATGCTTCTTTTGCGCTCGCTACCCGGCAGATAAGGGGCGAATAAAAGCGCGCGCCACAATGGAAATCTTCTGCGTTTTCCCTGCAGAACCCCGCTTATTAGATTATTTATTTATTTTGACTTTGCATTTGTTGGTGAGCCACTCGTGTCAGGGCGAGTGGGGGCCGTGCAGGCTGAGACAATGGATAATGCAGGCTGCTTTGTTGCAGTGGTGGCCCAGTTATGCAGTATTGGTT